AAAGTAGGGGTAGCTATACTTCTATCATATTAATAGACTTAAATATAAAAATAGTAAAATGAGACTAAGAAGGTCTTTTACAATTATTATTATGCAGTGATAAAGAGGTCAACCCACAGAACAAGTCTTAGCAAATTCAAGACGACTGAAATCATACCAAGTACCTTTTCTGGCCATGATGGTCTCCAAGTAGAAATCATTAACAGAAGGAAAACTGAAAAATTCATGAATACATGGAAACTAAACAATAGTCTGAATAGCCAAGAGTCAAAGAAGAAATTAAAGGGGAAATAAAAATGTGTCTTGACACAAACAAAAATGGAAACACAATGTACCAAAACTTACGGTATACAGACAGAACAATTCTAAAAGGGAAGTTCATAGCAATAAATGCCTACCTCAGGAAATAAGAAATATCTCAAACAACCTAATGCTATGCTTTAGGAACAACAACAAAAAAAAAGTGAAGGCAAAGTTAGCAGAAGGAAGGAAATAATAGAAATTGGGGCAGAAACAAATAAAATGGAGACCAGGAATACAACAGAAAAGACTAACCAAACTGAGAGATGGTTTTTTGAAAAGATAAAATTGACAAATGTTTAGCTAAACCAAGAAAAAAAATAGAGAGGGCCCAAATCAAAATTACAAATGAAAATGAAGAAGTAAATATTACAACTCATGCCACAAAGGATCTTAAGAGACTACTATGAACAACTGTATGCCAAAATACTGGAAAACCTAAAGGAAATGGAAAATTCTTAGAAACATACAATCTACCAAGAATGAATCAGAATAAAATAGAAAATGTGACAGACCAATTATTAGTAAGGAGATTGAATTCGTGATAAAACATCTCCCAAGGAAGAAAGGCCCAGGAACAGATGGCTTCACTGGTGAATTTTACTAAACATTTAAAGAAGAATTAATGCAAACCCTTCTCAGACTCCTCAATGTTTGGGAGGAGGGAAGATTCCCAAATTTATTTTATAAGGCCAGCATTACCAAAGCCAGAAAATAACACTAAAAGAAAACTACAGGCCACTATCTCTGATGAATACAGAGGCAAAAATTCTCAATAAAATACTAGTAAACAGGAGGTGCCTGGGTGGCTGTCAGTTGAGTTTCCGACTCTTGGTTTTGGCTGGGGTCATGATCTCAGGGTTATGGGATCAAGGCCCATGTAGGGCTCCGTGCTCAGCAGAGTCTGCTTCCCTTCTTTCTCTGCCCCTCTTCCCACACACGCACGCACTCTCTCTCTAGAATAAATAAATCTTTTTCTTAAAAGATTTTATTCATTTTATTTGAGAGAGAGAATGAGAGAGAGAGAGAGCACATGAGAGGGGGGAGGATCAGAGGGAGAAGCAGACTCCCTGCTGAGCAGGGAGCCCGATGAGGGACTCGATCCTGGAACTCCAGGATCATGACCTGAGCCGAAGGCAGTCACTTAACCAACTGAGCCACCCAGGCGCCCCTGGAATAAATAAATCTTTTAAAAAATACTGGTAAACAGAGTTCAACAGCACATTAAAAAGATCCTTCGCCATGATCAAGTGGTATTTATTTTTGAGATACAAGTGTGGTTAAACAGATGTAAATCTATCACTATGATATATCACATTGATAGAAGAAAAAAATTTTATGATCATCTCAATGGACACAGGAAAATCATTGGGCAAAATTCAATAACCATTCATGATAAAACCTCTTAACAAATTAGGTATATAAGAAACATACCTCAACATAATAAAAGCTGTAGATGACAAACCCACAGCTAACATGATAATGACAAAAGGTTGAAAGCCTTTCCTCTAAAATCAGGAACAAGACAAGGGTGCCCATTCTCACTCCTCCCATTCAAGATATTACTGAAATCCTAGCCAGAGCAATCAGGCAAGAAAATATGAAAGCCCATCAGAATTGGAAAGGAAGAAGTGAGATTGTCTATTTGCAGATAACATGATTTTATATACAGAAAATCTGACAGACTCCACCAAAGAACTGTTATATCCAATCTACAAATTCAGTGAAATTGCAGGATACAAAATTAACATACAAAATATGTGAATTATCTGAAAAAGAAATAAACTGATCCCATGTATAATAGCATTGAAAGCAATAAAATACTTAGGAATAAATTTAACCAAAGAGGTGAGAAATCGGTACACTCGAAACTGTAAAATAGTGATGAAAAAATTCTAGACAGAAATAAATGGAAAGGTATCCCATGTTCACAGATTAGAAGAATATTAATAATGTCCATCCCATCCCAAAGCCATCTATAGATTTTTTTTTAAGATTTTATTTATTTATTTGACAGAGAGAGACACAGCGAGAGAGGGAACAGGGGCAGTAGGAGAGGGAGAAGCAGGCCTCCCGAGGAGCAGGGAGCCCGATGCGGGGCTCGATCCCAGGACCCTGGGATCATGACCTGAGCTGAAGGCAAACGCTTAATGACTGAGCCACCCAGGCGCCCCAAAGCCATCCATCTATAGCTTAAAGGCAATCCCTTTCAAGATTCCAATGGAATTTTTCACAGAAACAGAAGACATACAAAGGACCAACAAGCATATGAGAGAATGCTCAGCATCACTCATCAGTAGGGAAATGCAGATCAAAACCACAATGACTTATCACCTCACACCGATTAGATTGACTGCCATCAAAAAGACCAGAAATAACAAATGCTGAAGACGACATGGATTAAAAGGAACACTTGTGCATTGTTGGTGGGATTGTAAATTGGTGCGGCCATGGTGGAAAACAGTATTGAGGTTCCTCAAAAAATTCAAACTGAAACCACCATATATATGATCCAGCAATTTCACTTTGGGGAATATATCCAAAGGAAACAAAAACACCATGTCAGAGTGCTATCTGCATCCCGACATTCATAGCAGCATTATGTACAATGGTCAAGACATGGAAGCAACCTAAGTGTCTATCAGTGGATGAAAGAATAAAGTACAGTATGTGTAGACATTAGTCAACCATTAAAAAGGAGGAAATCCTGCCATTTGTGATAACATGGATGGACCTTGAGGGCATTATGCTAAGTGAAGCAAGTCAGAGAAAAACAAATACATGATCTCACACGTGGAGGGAAAAAAACCAACAACTCAGGGAAAAAGCAATCAGATTTGTGGTCACCAGGGTAGAGATAGGAGTGAAAGAGGGAAAATGAGATGCGGGTGGTCAAAAAGTACAAACTTCCACTTCTAAATAAGTACCAGGGATACAGTGTACAGCATCAAGACTATAGTTAACACTGCTGAGCAAGAGTTCTCATCACAAGGAAAAATACATATTTTTTTATATCTATGAGATGACAGATGTTAACTTAATGTGGTAATGTCACGATATACGTGAGTAAAATCATTAACGCTATACACCTTAAACTCTGCTGTGTGTCAATTACATCTCAATAAAACTGGAAAAAAAATTTTTTTACATGTTGGGAAGATAAAAAAAAAAACAACCCTGTAACAATCTGATATATAAAAAAGGTGTCTCACTTCACTCCTTTTGCATTTGTTTACTAGTGATGCTGAACACTTTTTATAGGTCGTTTGTCAGTCTTCTGTGCACTGCCTTAACAAGTCATATGCTCATTTTTCTACAGAACATTTTTATATTCTTTTTAATTTGTAGGCTCTGTTTATATACTAAGATCCATTATTTAGTTAAATATTGCAAGAATTTCCCCGTGTTTCACTTGCCTTTTACCTTATTTCATGGTGTTTGGTTTTTCTTTTTTTTGGTGGGGGTACATACGTTTTACGCTTTCATATAGCCGAACACCAATCTTTTCCTTTATGGTTTCTCTCTTTGCTTTTATGCTCCCACCCAAAGGTATCTCTAAAACTCAAATCTGATCATACCCCTCCCTTAATGAAAATCTTCCAGGGGCTCTTGGGGCATAAAAGTCCCAGCTCCTCCTGGTGCTCCAGCCCCAGCCTACGGTCAAGCCCATAGGCACTCAGCTTATAGTCCTGCCAAGAATTGTACGCAGCACTCTCCTTAGCGCCCTCTGCTTGGAAAGTCACCCCTCCACCATCTCCACAGGCTCCTTCCCACCTCAACCCCCTCTTCCTGTACATCACCGAAGTCCCAGCTTGGATATGAGCATCTCCTGTAGAGCACCTGTTCTTCAGGGGGCTCTGTAGTGGTTTGTAAAGTGAGTAACTCAAACGACAAGAAAAGTCTAAAATGGCAAACAGGAGAAATGGCTCTCAAGGCCAGTTTAGGATCACAGGATTGGACTGAGGTGCTGGGGGCAGAGGTTCTGTGACAAGCGAGGGGGAGAAATGAGGGCACAGAGCCCAGGCAGCAGGGGCAGGGTGCTCAGAGGTGGGTGGAATGGAATATGGGTACATGTGGGGGGCTGAGCTGCAAGCAGAGAGCAGAAGGGCGGATCAGCAGGCGCCAGTGCTAGGCCGGGACGGGGATCTCCATAAAGCTGAAGGACAGTGCCAGGGAGGGGCTCAGTTCTGAAAGCACAGGGCAGTAGTCACTGGAGATCCCCAGCGGGAAAGTCTGTCTCACCACCGAAACCCCTTTTACCCACAGAGTCTCCCACACCAGCACATGACACTGCTGGCTTTCTAGTTTCATTGGCCAGAAACTGGTCACTTGTCTCCTCTTCCTCCCACGCCCCACATCCCGTCTGTCAGCAGTTCCTGTGGGCTCTACCTTCAAAATGTAGCCAGACCATGATACGGCATGGTTCCATTTAGAGGACATTCTGGAAAAGGCAAAACTGGAGGGACAGAAAAAAGATCTGTTGCCAGAGGCTAGGGGAGGGGGTGACAAAGGATCTCGTGGGGATTGGGTGGCTAATGGAACTCTCCTAATACCCTGACCGTGGTGGCAGTCACACAGCTGCAGGCATTTATCAAAACTCACAGAACCGGAGACTAAAAAGGCTGAGTTTTACTTCAAGTCCATTATACCTTACTAAAACTATGGGGAAAACCATCGACCAGGCTCCAACTATTTCTCACCTCATCTCATCCTCACGGCGATGGGTGTGGTCCAGGGCGCCATCATTCTTCTTACTTGGATTCTCGCTGCAGTGGGCTCTTCACCACTCCCGCTGCTCCTGCTCTGGCTTCCCTGTGGTCTGGTCCCCACACTGCAGCCAGGGTGGTCCTTTTAAAACCAAAGTCAGAGTTCCTTAGTCTGGGACTCAGAACTTCAGAGGTAAAGGAACTCTCCAGAGGTTTCTCTTCTCACAGTAAAGGCTGAAGTTCTCACATGGCCACCAAGAGCCTACATGACACAGTTTTCTGTCACTCCTCTGGTGACTTTCTCTTAACTCCCTCCCCCATACCCCTCCCCCGCAGGTGACTCCACACCAGCCGCCATGGATGGCCTTCTTGCTCCTCCTTGGACATGCACTGCATGCTCCCTTCTCGGGGTGCTCTGTCTGGAATGTGTTTGCCCCTGATTTCCATTCACATGGGCCCCTCCCTCATCTTTCAGGTCTTTGCTCAAATAGTATCATCTTGAGGCCTTCCCTGAGCACCCTCATTACAACTGCTGCCCAGGCGCCCACCCACCTCACACCCCCGTTTGCTGCTCACGTTTTGTTTTTTCTCACAGACCGTACTTCCGTCTGACATCCACATATTTTGTTCATTTTGTTTATTGTGTGATTCGTCCTCACGTCAAGGAGGACAGGGACTTCGGTTTTATTTCCCACTGCCCTTCTGTACCTTGGACATTACTGTTTGCCTGGGAGAGAACAGCCACTCAGTTAAATTTTGTAGCTGGAGTAAAGGCAGGCAAGAAGGCAAGAGTCCCAAGAACTGGCGGAGACGGTCATCTCTGTCCACGTCTCACTGCCCCTGAATTTCACTCAGCCGCTCCCCACACATAGTCCTGGACGACATCAACTGTAGGACCAGTCTGTGGGGGCCGGTGTTGTGGGGTGGTGGCTCTCCTTCCTGCCTTTCCTTTTTGTTTCCCTGCCACCTCAGATGGCTAACTTAACAGATGCCTTCTCTCAAATTTCTCTCTAGAAGCAGATGTTCCAGGAGAGGAGTAGCCGGATGCTGCAGGCCTTGTCCCCGAAGCAGAGCCCTGTGAGCAGCCCCACCAGGAGCCGGTCCCCCTCCCGCTCCCCGTCGCCCACCTTCTCGTGGCTCCCGAACAAAACCTCACCCCCCTCCTCGCCCAAAGCAGCCTCAGCCTCCATCAGCAGCATGAGTGAGGGGGATGAGGATGAGAAGTAAAGGCTGCCGGCAGACCGCAAGGGCCGCACCACACAGGCTCGGGCGAGGGTGGGGTCACCGGGTGTGCCTGGGTGGGGCTGGAAGGGTAATGGTCACAGGAGCTGCAGCTCAGCTAAGGGAAGGCCTGGGGACCAGCTCTCCCTCAGTCTCCACTCAGCCTAAGATTTGGGCTCTGCATGGAGGTTTCTGGCCGGACAACCTTTACAAACCTTCTTAGCAGCATCTAGAATCACTCTACTTTAACCTTGCGAAGGAATGATGCAGAGCACCCCCAGGAAATTTGCACTGGGTCGGGTGTCTTCTGCTTTGGTCCTTACACCCACCCCTACCAAGTCCGCCACCCATGGAAGCGGCTGTTCCCTCAATCTGCTACTTCCAGCCCATGAGGGCCCTGCACGTTGCCTCCTACCACCCAAGCTCTGCCAGAATAAAGTTGTTTCCGATAGAGGTGGTAAAGTGCTTCTGAAATAGTCAAGTGAAAGATCAATTCCAATCTTCTCAGTTTAGCCACTGAGACCTGATGTTGCAACACATCAATTCTTCGCAGTTCTAGAAATGTGGTGCATAGACAAAGACATGCTTTAGGCCAGATATATAAAAGGTCATCTAGTATAAACCTTAACTTCTTATTTAGAGGACAGTTCTGTCGAGGAGAACACCACAGAAGGCCTAATATGTTTCTGGTTGTACTTTTCATCATTGGTTTGACTTCATGGTTTCCAGAAATTACCTTAATCTGTGGGAAATGCAACAAAGAAAAACATTTTATATGTGTGTATTTATATATGGTTTTATATATATATATACATATTATATATATACATATATGTGTGTGTGTGTGTGTGTATATATATATATATGTATGTATATAAAGAGGAGCTGCTTTGCTTTGGCTCTGAGTTTAGCAGATGGTAAATGTCTCCTGGAGCTTCTCCTTAAAGGATGCTAACTCTGAAATGGCTTTTCCCATTTTTGACCAGTTAACAATTTCATAGGCCTCAAGTAACAGTTTGACATACCAAACCACATAGCATAACAATAGGGTGCTACCTGCACGTATCTGTTCTCTGTATGCTCCAAATATGCTATCCAGGGTGTGTACCATATGCAATATGAATATATGGTGGTAGCCTTTTACAATATACGCTCCTGCTTTCACCCCAATCTCCCGCTGAAATCCTTGGTCTAAAGGACTACCTGGTTCCCTTGTGACTTGGGCACTTTGTCAAAAACTCATCCTGGATTCCTGTAGAAATGTCTTGTCCCAACCAGGAAACGAGTATGTTGTTCTCATGGCCTCCCATCGTGTTTTTTGGCTAGAGGGAGGCTCTGAAGAGTTTCCCAGAGCACTGTGGGAACCTCAGTTTGATCTCAGCATTGAAATGGTCTACATGGTTGTATAGTTATCCCCAGCCCTAGGTCTGCCAAATGGGATGAAGAGCCTAAGCACTGCTGCTGAGTTGTTTGACGTTACTGTCTGCTAACGACAGGGAGGATAGCAGCAGGTAGAGTCAGGGTGTGGAACCACACTCCTAGGTAGACGAGGCATGGCTTGTCTGTGCCAGGAAAGCCAGAGGGACAGCTGGGGCCTGACTGAGCAGAGGCCCAAACCAGCAATTTGTGGGCAGAGCTCAGCATCTCCTGCGACAGAAACACCCCCTTTTCAGAGGCCTTGGGAACCAGCCTTTCTGTGTGACACGTGGGGCAACCAATGAAGGAAGGTGGCACGTCTTTCCCCCTTGTGTCGGGGTTGAACTACCTCCCTGGCCACCTGGACATAAGTGGTGTTTACTGGGAAGCGAAACCACAAGGCTGAGCTGACTTGGAACACCCTTGTTCCTGGCATGCTCTCTCCAGGGTTCTCTTGAGCACTCACGTGGGACAAAGAGCTGGCGGGCACGTGGCACGCGAGAAGGAAGCTTTCTGTAGCCAAGGCCTAGAGCACTGCTCTGCAGAGGGAGCCAGGTCCCAGTTTTGCTTTGTGCCCCTCTGCTCGTTCCAGCTGGTTGACACTTGAGGCAGTGCAAGGATAAGCACCTCGAGGTGGGGAGAACAAGGGCAGAAAAAAGGAGCAAAGAGGGGCCTGGAGAGAGGGAAGGCCATTATCGAAAATCTGTGCTCTCAACCCGTTGCTGGACCTCGCCGGGTAGGGGCAACTATTTTGGGAAGGCCTTTTATGTGCTTATTCCATGGCCCAAGGCGGACAGACCCGCTCTTACTTGAATTGCGCTCTGAAGCAAATAATGTGGGGCTCTACCAGGCTGCTTCTGTGCTTGCAGGCCTTCCACACCGTACTGACAGGTGCCCCTTCTGTGACTCAGACTCAATGCCATCACAGCTGCCGGTGACGGCACGTGACCAACACCTGGTTTATTCCAGGGACGGGCTGAAACCACGCACAACCCGTTCTAAATCTCACCTGAAGTCGCCACCCTGTCCTCTAACAATCCCTCCCCACTGTCCTGAGGCTATGAGACTACTGAGAAGGGGCAGGGATTCTGCAAGCCAACCTGTAACGCTCCTGGCCATCGGTGTCTTCCAGCTCCCCCTTTCCAGGAGGAGATGGGGGTGCCCTTCATTTGGGTTAACCGGTTGCCAGTCATGGCCACAAGTGAGTCAGGGCTGGAGTGAGAGATGCACAATCACGTGCAGGCTTGAAGAGGCAAGCAGAAATGACAGGAAGCAAGGAAGTGTCCCTTCTGCCCTAGAAAGGGAAGGAAGCTTTCGACCGAGGACTGTAGAGCAGTACTGAGGGTTGCAGAAGGAGAGGAGGGGGCAGGTGAGGAAGACGGGTGGGCAGCAACGGGCTGGAGGGGAGGGTGTGGGGGAGCAGGGCCTTTCTACTCCCTTTCAAAGTGTCACTCACCCCCTAACAGGTGAAGAAGGAAGGCTTCCTTTCAGAGACACCCAAGGTTAGTGAACGCCCATGCGGGGTCGGGGTGCCGAGCCCCCGAGCTCCCCAGGGCCACCACCTCTCCGTTCGCTGCCACGTCCTCTAACCAGGGCCCTGAAGTCAAACGTTCACCCTTCCGCCAGCTACAATCACAGGGGAAGCTCCAATAGCCTAGTCACACTGAAAGGCCCGTTGCTGGCAAGCCGCCCCCGTGTGCCAGGACCTTAGAAAAGGCAAGGAGACCAACCTCAAGAGGAGCCACCCTGAGCCCCAAGGCTGCCTTCTGACCTGCTCTGTGGGCTTGCAGGCTTGCTCCAGGCGGCGGGCTATAGTCACTGTGAGTCCATCCCTTGAGGGAGGGACGGGAAGAGCGTGCATTTGTTTTCTCTTCATCTTCAGGACTTATTTTAGCACCCAGGCATACCCCAGAGAGAGAGAGACGGGATGGCCTGACTCAGCTGAATCAGATGAGCCCGTTTGGAGCAGAGAGGTTCCTGTTCCTCAGGCATCCATTCAGCGCTAGTCTAGGCCACCAGACTTTTTTTTTTTTTTTTTTTTTTTAAGAATCAGCTCATAAGGCATTTGCAACTTCTACTTCTCTCTAGACTTTTTTTGTTTTGTCACTGCGATGTGTCCTGGGACAAAGCCATAAGAAGAACATACATACTTAAGACTCTGCTGTACATACAGGAAGACGAAGACTCGTCTGGGTTCAAGTACGACCTTACTACGCCCAAGCATTTGCTCTGGTGCTGAATAACGCGAACTACTGGAATCAGCCCTCCACCCCTGGCCCCTCGCCCCTCCCCACCCACCCCGCACCCCAACAGAACACAGCATTCCCAACTTGTTTATAAATAAAGGAATGCATAATTGCACTTTGGCTTGTCGTGTTTCCTAAAAGTGTGCTACGGCGTTCCCGTTCATGAACTCCCGCTCGCGGTGGGAAAGTGCAGCCGTGGCGGCGGTCCTGCCCGCGCGCAGCAAGGATGCGCCCCCCGCGCCGTGTCCCGCGGGGCACCGTCCTGCAGATGCCAAAGGGCCCACACCTGACGGCAAAGCTCGTGAGGAACAGACCCACCTGGAGGGGAGGTCACACTGGGGGGCCCAGTCGGGACCTGGAGTTGGAGGCTCTGTGACCTCGGCCAAACCGCTTCACTTCCGTGGCCTCAGGGTCTGCTTTTGTCAATTGAGGGGGCTGATGGCAAGGGCTGCCGAGGTCTTCGCTGGAAAGGTCTCTGAATTTATAACGCAACCCGCGTCGTCCCTACGCTTCTCCAGCTAGGAGGCTGCCACTACGCGACCACGAGAAAGGGCTTACCTCTCCCTGGGCAGAAAGCTGGAGAGGGGGCCCGCCAGGCCCCTGGGACCTCCACTCCTGCCGCCTTGCGCGGCCGCGCCCCCTGCCTCAGCCTCCACAGGCGCGGGGGCTCCACCCACCTTCCCGAGGAAGCCCCCTGACGGCTGCTTCGCACCTGTACCGGAACGGGGCGCGGGGCCCTTCCCGCCACTTGAACGTCTTGGGTTGGGGGTGGGGGGGAAGCGCCTTTGACGCGAGGGAAGCCGATCGATGGGGTGGAGGCGCCAAATCACGATCCCAAATGCCAGCAGTGAGGGCCCAGGTTCCCGCGCCAGGAAAGTGCGAGCGGCCCTCCACCGGCCCAGTTGGGGAGTTTCCATTAACTCCACCTGGCGAGCTTTAGCCGCGAAACGACAACAGTTCTAACATTAGCCTGGACTCGGGAAGAAACAGCCAGGCCTGTATCCAGCCAGGAAAGCCATTTAAAAATACAATACCTATTATTCATGGACCATATTACTTGGCTTTGCCACCCAGATCAAACACATTCTTGACAGGTCGTAATTACGGTAACAGCTACAGGTTTCTTCTGGACTCCGTGATACCTCGGAAATGTTCTCAACGGAAAAATCCGTTCTAAAGCATGATAAAATTCATAGTGAAGAACTCTAATATTTGCCCTGAAGAGAATTAGCTTTTGTTAATAAACAGAACCCCTGGGATAAAAGAAGTACACTATCAAAAATGTTTACACACAAACACATACACGGTCCTCTGGTACTGGAGTCCTCATTGGATATTGGAGTTGAATGTTTAAGCAACTTCTTCAGGTATTCCGCCGTTAGACAGAAAGACTCCCACCGAGATGCCATTCGGATAAAGCATGACAGTTCATCAGCCCCGAAATACATACCCAGTGATCGAATCCTTTAAGAAATCATCAAGTAAAAACCAATAAACCACCAGTAAAACCTGAAAATATCATTAAGAGCATATATACCTGTCAGGGCTAATCGACCTTTGTTAGGCCCAGCTGCACTGCCCTAACTTACATTCTAAAAAAAACAAAAAACAAAAAACAAAAAACCTTATTAGCTGATTCTCAGCCGCTGCTGACCGAATGTGGGAAACTTGAGGAGAAAGCCTTAGTGCACGGTTGACTTGTCTCCTACAAGCAATTTTTGCTCTCCTTACCTTCATTCTCTCTTTTGGGGGGCAGGGAAAGGAATTGATGTGCCAGGTTACTGTACTTGTATTCACAAAAGCAGAGTTCTGATGGAGGGATTAGACATAACTAAAATATTTGATACGTAACCTTCCATTTTAAAAGAATTAATGAATCTATACCTGAAAGAGTTGGGATACTTTACCCCTTCCACAGGGACCTTTTCAGCTAATTATACTTGCAAATGAACTTGTCACTCGAAAATTTCCAAGTTCAAAGAAAAATCTGTCATCTTCTGCCATGCACATAGCTTGAGGAAGAAACCAGTCTTTCTTGTCTGGTCGTCACGTTCCACTGGACGGACGTTGACAAGACGCCATTCACGAGTCTGCTCACACAACAACATGAACACAACTGAGTCAGTGATTCTTTATTTTTTTCCATATCTGATACCCAGGAATTAACAATAGTAGAAAGAAGTTGAAGAGGGGTATATTAGTTTCCTACTTCTGTCACCAACTCAGTGGCTTAACACAACACAGGTTATTTTTCAGCTCTGGAGGTCAGAAGTCCAAAATGGGTCTTACTGGGCTAAAACTAAGGGGTCAGCGGGGCTGGATGCTCTAGGGGAGAATGTTTTCTTGCATTTTCCAGCTTCTAGAAGCTGCCTGCATTCCTTGGCTCGTGGCCCCCTTCCATCTTCAAAGCCAGCAATGGCCAGTGCAGTCTTTCTCACATAATACTACTCCAACATGCCTTCTGCCTTTCTCTTCTAAGGGCTCTTGTGTTTACATTTGCCCCATGAGGATAATGCAAGAAAATCTCTCTACCTTAAGTTCATCAGCAACTTTAATTCCTTCTTGCCAGGTAATCTGTAATATAACATATTCCCAAATTCTGGGGATTATGATGTGGACATCTTTTTGGGGAGCCATTATGCTGTCTACCACAAGGTGACTGATAATCATCATAAACCCTTGAACCTTTTTCCAGTTCCTGAGTTGAGAAACAGTAACCCTCATGCAGACAGATTCATATTCCTCTTTTTATAATTCCTGTGTCTACTCATGATGAACCTGCTTAAAATGTTTCTCCCAAGCCTTGACGTCCACAAGAGAAGCACCGAATAGGTATAATGGAAGATGTCTGACCCAAATGAACATGTTAATTGGTCCGTGAGGAGAGATGTGTTGGGTCTTCAACTTACGAACACAGAGCCATGGCTGGTAGAGAAGGAAGTTTAAGAGTCCCCCTGCCCCGTTCTCCGTACATATCCTCCAATTCATACTTGGCTATCTCAAGAAGACAAGAAGCAAAAGGGCAGTTAACCAAAGCTTTTGATCATTGGTTATGTTCCTGCTGAAACAAGCCCAGGAATACAGTTTTTGACTAGCAGGCAGAATCTGTTTCCTGCCTATTCTCCACCTGGTTTTTGGTTTTTGGTTGTTCTGGTTCTTGGATGTTGACCACAGCCGCTTGAAGCCAGAACTCCCTTCCAGCCATCCAGTATCAAAGTACTCCATGCTCCTTTCTAGAGTAACTTATTTTCCCCTTGTGGCCTTTTATTAGCATTTTAACTTAAGGCCTACCATACATTCCTGTCTGGAGCATTCAATAAACATTTGAATGAGCTGCTAGGTCCTGGGGATGCAAAGATGAAAAAGGACACAATCCTGTCCCCCACCCCAATTTCAGCTCAGTAGCTAGACTCTCAACCCTGGCCTCTCCGGACTGGCCCTACCTTTGATTTTCCTGAGCTCTTGATGAACAGTCCAAGTTCTGATTCTGCCAAATAGAGTTTTACAATGATTTTACTGACAACTAATTTTGCATTACTTTACTCATCCCTTTGGGTGTGGGTGCTGTAACTTTCTCTGAGTGCAAGGACTGCTAACTCTTACTCAGAGTGGGGGAAAATAAGTAGATTTTTTTTAAAGATTTTATTTATTAAGTTGACAGAGAGAGAGACACAGCGAGAGAGGGAACACAAGCAGGGGGAGCGGGAGAGGGAGAAGCAGGCTTCCCGCGGAGCAGGGAGCCCGATGCGGGGCTCAATCCCAGGACCCTGGGACCATGACCCGAGCCAAAGGCAGACGCTTAACAACCGAGCCACCCAGGCGCCCCGAAAATAGATTTTAAATAGATTTTCAGTTTATTAGAAACCACTCTTTGAGGATGCTGAATGGAGGAGGCTGATGATGTCCGTCCCTGAACTAGACCCATCAACAGTGAGGCTCTAGGTAAGCTACCAAAGTCCCAAGGCATCAGCACATACTTTCCTTCAAGGCCTTCACAACACATGCAGAGCCTGGGCCAGAACTCGCCTATGTGGACAGAGCTGTTTCATGAGTGACGTGGCCATCCGAAGTCTCACTCTAAATTCCTCGATTGCCCTGTGACTGACGGGCCTCTCTCACCTGGGTAATGGGGCAGTATTTGCCCTCATAAACTTGCTATTTTGTTACCTGTTGAAGCCCTAGGAAGAGAGCAGTTTTCATATCGGAAGTTCTGTTCCAATTACAGTGCAAGGTGACAATAATTATCTCTAACTTTAGAAACAGTTACACTATATGAAACTGTTACTAAGGAACTGTGGAAGCTTCTGCATCCATCACTGTTATTAAAAATCATTACCATGTTTATTTTGTTTGAGGACTGGCAAATTCTGTTTGGACAAGACTGCCAGAGGACAGCAAGAGTACCATTAGCTTCGAGTTTCTTGTACAGTAAGAAACAGCAAGGCTGCTCAGTTGCCCCAAATTCACAGCAACAAGGCTTTTGACCTCTTCTAAGTAACTTCCAGTTACCTGTGAAACAACATCAATAAAGTTGCAAGGACCCTGGGACCCACTCTGTGTGAGGGAGACAGGATTTGCTGCCGCCAGCATTCTACTGTTCTCAAAGGCAGGTGTGTAGTTTGGACTTCATCAGTGGTTTTCAACCTGGCCACATGTTAGAATCTCCTAGAAAGTATTTCCCAGAGACCATCCGACAGAATGGATCCAAAGTGGGGTCCAGGACTCAGAGGTTCCAATGAGACTGGGTTGAGACCCTCCGGGCTATACTTAATACTTCAACTCAGGTAACAAAGCGAGCCTTGGAGAGTAACTGGATTCAGAGGTTGATGATCAACGGCCATACAGCTATGACAGGAAAAGGTCTAGGTATCATTTGCTTATGCAAAGAGAGACTATTAAGGTGATAAAAGTGTCAGAAACGGGCAGGGGGCAAAGGATTCATTTTAAGACCAACATTTAGAAATGCCCAAGGTACTGTTAAGCATCCAACCCAATCACTATTGAAAATGGGTGCCCAATGTTAAAAAAATTCAACAGCATGTAATGGCTATTTATAGCTGCACTGTCCAACATAGTAGCCACCAGCCACATGTGGCTTTTTAAATTTAGATTAATACAGGGCACCTGGGTGGCTCAGTCGGTTAAGTGTCTGACTCTTGATTTCGGCTCAGGTCATGATCTCAGGGTCCTGGGATCCAGCCCTACGTCGGGCTCTGCGCTCAACGCGGGAGTCGGCTGGAGATTCTTTCTCTCTCTCTCCCTCTGCCCCTCCCCTAGCTCGTGCATGCTCTCTCTAAATAAATAAAAATCTTTAAGAATATAAAAATAAATTTAGATGAATACAATTTAAATTGAAAATTCAGTTCCTCGGTTGAACCAACCACATTTTAAGTGTTCAGGCAGCCAGTGGCGACCAGATAGGACAGCTCAGGTAAAGAACATTGCCATCACCGCGTTCTCATGGTGGACAGTGGTCTACGGGAACCCTTCCCAGAAACAACCCCTCCTACACGATGCCTTAGGATTTATTTGTGTTATCAAAGGGTACATTTATGTGTTAGCACGATGTGAACATCTGAAAATATCAGCAGATAATCATTTGCAAACATGCCTTAAGTCATTGGAAAACCTTGAAAAGACCGAGAAGGAAGTCAAAATGTACACGGAGGGGCAGTGCCCTGCAGCAGCTTCCCAGAACCACAGACGTTTGAGTTGAAGGGTCTCTTGGTGAGCCTCAACCATACATCCCATATGATTTCCAAACTGGGCCAGAGTGGCTGCAACAAGAACACTATTCCCTAGTCGTGAAGGATGTGTTAGCACAGTGGCTGACTTGGTAAAACCAGATAGATACTTGAAAACTACGAACGAAAGCCAGGGTCACTTTCAAGAGCCACTGCTTCTGTATGCTTTGGGCAAAAGAGATCACAACATGAGAACAGCTGGTTAGTACCTGCTTCCTATTTTAGGTTTTAAAGGGTGCCATAAAACAGCTGACCTGGAAAGAACTTTGGAACCATGGAGTTCAACTCCCTAATTTTATAGACAAGGAAACCAAGGCACAGTAGAATCAAGGCAGATGTGCTGATTTCCTCATTATCAGCATGCCCCAAGAATCATTCAAACCCAAGTTTCTTGCATCGAATTTTCTAGGTCTGTTTTTTAGTGATAAATATACAAGAGAGCAGGTATGTGGCTCTCAAATTTTAAAAAGAGCATTCACCGTTGAATGTTGTGTAAAAGAATGACACACTGGCAAATAACATGAAGACCACACCTCTTAGTTCTTCAGCAAGTCCAGAAGCGCAGCCACGTGTCTTCGGAGGCCCTGGGTTCTGGTGTCGGTGCTACTCCAGTCCCTCAAAAGACACCATGGAATCAACAGCCCTTTAATTGCAAATTTCAAGTTGTTTATCTTCTGCGTATTCCATATGGCAACAGTCCCCAACTTACACTTTTTAAAGAATTCTCCCATGGCATTTGTTAAAATATAGATTCCGAAGCCCCCAGCCCAGAGCATCTGAATGGTGTGGAGGGAGAGCCCAGGAATCTGCATTTAACCAGCACTTCGGGTCATTCCGGTGTAGGTGGTCCATGGCCAGTGAGGCCCAATTTGCCTAGCACAGCCCTGGTTTACACCTGTTTACATGCTTTACAGTATAATTATTAACAGTGCTGTTTTCACTGTCAAAACGGTCCTGGCGTGGACAATATATGGCCCCCTCTCTCTGATCCATGGATCGTATTTTGAAAAATATTGTTAAAACTATTTACTGTCAAACAGTTCCTTTATTTTGCCAACAGGATGTTCCCCACTACCGAGAATCCAAACAACCTACAACTCCAGTGGATCATAAGATCTTAAGTATCCTTGTCCATTCCCAGCAACTTACAAAGGTGTGTGGTGCTGCTCGCTTCCTGAATTTCAGAAAGTGAGAAGACAAGGATCAGAGGCGGCAGGGATCAGACCACAGACCAGGGCGCAGGAAAAGACCACGCTGACGCACAGTGAATCACAGCTACCATTTTATTGTTTGATGGCGTTGGTACAGAATTGTCCACGTGCTCCAGGACTAGTGTGGCTATGACA